ACCTGAAAGCATGGCATTACAAAAAGCAATGAAATGTTAGTACAATACTATACAAAAACAATGAGAGACAAGGTTAATTTATCAGTTTTCAGTTGACAATTTCAGTTTTGTGAAGCTTGTAAACACTAGCTGTATGGTTTAAGAAGATAGATGTGGAAAAGCCTGCATTGTAACTCAAGAGGAAGCAATTGCCCCACCCCCTGAAGCTAATGTAAAGCATGAAAGCACAAACGCTTCTTCCGCAAGCAGTCGTACGCTTACAGTTTCCTATGGAAAACGACTCAAACATGGTATAATCAATGACCATCTGTCTGCATTGTATAATTACATGTACCATCAGTTGCATCGACGATTAATTCATATCTGTTCTGTGTTTCTCGGTCCAGTTTCCCAGCAACCTGGATTTGACCTGTCTGCCCATCGATAAGGAATGCTCCACCAGTATTACCAGAAAATATGGAAAACGTTATATTGGAATTTTCACCTATGTCTTTATCACTTGCCTCGACCTGCAAAGAAGTGTGATGATATACTGTAAAGACAGTAAACTGACATGTCGTTTTATATGTTAAATTTTGTTGATAAACTTAACGTAACAAAACAACCCGGGGGAGGGGGGACTCCGGGGTTAAAACACTGGGATGCCCCCCCCCCCCAAAAAAAAAAAAATATTGAATGTAAGTATTGTGCATAGATCATGTTATATTGCACGGTGCTCATATTACTAGAAATGCCCTCTGTAAGCAGTAACCTAGAAGGCATAATAATTAATTAAATATTTCATTCGAATATTAATTCCCGAATTTCGTTTTCTTTAAGCCATAAACTTTACAAATGTAAATCACTCCACGATTTTCGATTTTCGATTTTCTTTAAAGTCGGATTCAAACCTGAATGACGGAATTTTGCTAGTATTTATCTGCAAACTTCGAGAAACAGGAAACTCAAGCAAAGCATTTGATTCAAAATTGTTTTTTTAAATAAAATACATTTTACCTTAATCTCATGTGTTGCTGATGTTATTTAACATTGCTGTGTATGGTTTTGAAGGGATTTAGAGCTATTTTTAAGAAAATATTGCCATCAGTCATAAAAGACTACAGGTTACAGAACTTCCATGCCAATCGTCTTTGAAGGCCGAAAACAATATCTTTAATCCATTTTTTGCCTCCAAAATTCCCTCAGCGGCATGTCTCTAGGATCCTTCTATCCAGAATTGGGCAATGTTTCAACGGACTTCAAATCCAACCGTGCCAAATTGTCATGTTTTTACGCTTTTCTGAATTTTTTAAATCCGCTCAAGCATTCATTGACCTTGATGGACACCGTTCCCTCGATTTGGCACGGTTGGATTTGAAGTCCGTTGAAATATTGCCCAATTCTGGATAGAAGGATCCTAGAGACATGCCGCTGAGGGGATTTTGGAGGCAAAAGATGGATTTAAGATATTTTTTTCGGCCTTCAAAGACGATTGGCATGGAAGTTCTGTAACCAGCCTTGTAGTCTTTTATGACTGATGGCGATATTTTTTAAAAAATAGCTCTAAATCCCTTCAAAATCACACACAGCAATGTTAAATAGCATCAGCAACACATGAGATTAAGGTAAAATGTATTTTATAAAAGAAAACAATTTGAATCAAATGCTTTGCTTGGGTTGCCTGTGTTCGAGACTGATCTGACTGAAGCTACGTCACACGTTTATTGTCTCCAGTCTCTCTAGGACTCTCGCGATACAAAAAGCACAGGAGGCCATTTTTGAACTTGAATCGCCTCAAAAACACACCGCTATTTCGATTTTTGAATTTCTTTTCAAGCCATATTTAATGATCAGTAAACTATCTTTAGCAAGCACAAAAAAAATTCCTTTATATACACTTTAAGGGAACTGGGTCTTAGAGTCATAAATACGCATGGTGTCATAACTGTTTTGTTAGCATCAAGCTATAATTACCTTGATAGCATTGAAGCCTGAAGTTTCTGCCTAAGATATATTTACACTGTATTGAGACTGACTGAAGACAGGCGAGTTATCATTCACATCGGTAACGTAAACAACAACTTCAGACGTATTTGACAGAGAGGCCAAGGAATCCATGTCAGAAGCCTCAACAATTATTGTGTAATTTGATTTAGATTCTCTGTCAAAGGCAGATGACGTACTAAGATAGCCAGTAATGGGATTTATGGAGAAAACGCCTAAAACATTGCATGCATACTGTTAAAACTCATACAAGAATTAAACGTCAATATACTGAACTCATCTCTTAATTTGCATACATTTTTATAACATAGATACTATATAACGCGCGCTCTGATTGGCTAGTTTTCTATGAAAAAGAAATGGATGGATCATAGAGATGGTTCATGCTCACGTCATTACTGTAGGAAAACAAAAATTATACGAAAAACCTGGAACTTTTAATATTTTTCTTGAGAATAGCGATTTATAAGCTTCGTTTTTGAATAATGGCTAATAATAGCCCAAACTTTGCGTTTGACTTTCTAAATTTTGAAGCTACAAATTGTAGCCAAGAGGGAGTGATTGTTTAACCGTGAAAGAGAAAGCAAAACAATATACGGACAGAGTCGCTTCGCTAATCTAATAAATGAGCGAGATTTGATAAGATTGAAGATAAAGCATCCAAAAAGACAAAGATAGACACTAACTGGTCTGTTTCTACATTTATAGGTAAGTTTTTCAGATTTTAAACAGGTATTTTTTCTACTTAAAATTGATGAACCACGGACGATAAACAATAAAACAAAAGTATAATTTTTGTGACTAGTTTAATATCATTTTTACCTCGTTTTCTTGTAATTCACATCATAGTGCAACGAGAAAAACATTCAAACAGAGCTTGAAAACACAAAGATTGGCCAACTTGATGCAAATCTGAGAAGATTTTATGGCGAAACGTACGGCAAGAAGAGTCTCCTAGGTTTCTGTGACGGCATCGAAAGATACCTAAATCAGCCAATGTTCTCAAGAAATCTTAAGATGTCAACAGACACAAAGTTTTCAAGATCAAACTCGATATGCTGGTGACACACATCTTGTTCAAATCAAGAGTTTAGGCAGTCAACACAAAGCCGGCGATTGAAGATGAAGACCTCTATGAGAAGTTGAAAACATATTCAAGCGTCCAGGGCGTTAGTTCCCGTTCAGAAAACAAGCAACACGGCTGCTAGGTCACAAAACCATGAGATGAGGCCGATTGTATGCAATTTGGACTCAATATTCAGCAACTGTACCATCCAAAAAACGTGCAAGTCGTCGCCTCCTCANAACAAACTTTAAACTTGACATTATAGCCAAATATTTGTGGAATAGACTTCCTGTGTGTTGTATTTGGACACAATTTCGTGACTCACATCTGTACGTTTGAATAAAAATACTGACTTTGAAAATCAAGTTGTTCTATTTTTAGTTTGTGCTCGCACGCTAAGGAGAAATTGTCGCTTGATCAGAACATAAAATATGACATTTCGATGAGTAAAAACGTCTCACTATGTTATAAAAGCAATGGACAATATCTAGCTTGTGCGTCCATCCAATGAGGGATGCACTTGGATAGTTGGGAGAGCACTCAGCTAGCTAGAGATGCTCTCGACTGCGTCTCGAGCATCTCTTACGCTAGCTTCGTGCTCTCCCAACTATCCGCGTGCATCCCTCATTGGATGGACGCACGCTAGATATTGTCCATTCCTTAATTGTGCATCTGTCATAGCCATGATCGTTACCTTCCGAGGCCTGGGAGCAAACGAGCAATTGAGTACCATACAGTGCGAAACAAAAAACAATTTCCACTTTTCTCTCTTCAGCTTCTTTTCCCATCCTCACTTACATCCCATTTATACCTCCATCCATTCATCCATCCAATTGTTTGGCATTGAAATATAATATATCATTTTAGATTGCATCTCTTTATATCTATCATTACTTTTTAATAGGTTTGTCATTTCTTATCCATTTCCTATTTCCAGTTATCGAGTTTTCCAATAAAATAAATATAGAATTCCTCATGTAAAGTGATTTTGTACGGGATTTTCGCACTCGTTGGTTTTGAATCTGAAATCTAACTCGTTCGCTACGCTCCTGACTTGTGCGAAAATCCCGTGCGTCGTCAGCACTTTCCATGAAGAAATCTATATTTAATCACAGTTCTCTATATTTACCTGTTTCATTCACGATTTTGTAACGAATTTGTCCCTGACTTGAAGAACAGCTAGACGTACCAGCGTCCTTGTCAGATGCAGCAGTCCTTCCAACAAGGAATTCGTGTAGTGAATAATCTCCCTATGCCAAATATATGCTATATTAAAAACTATATTAAAAGAGAAACTTCCATGTACTACTGCTTGGAGTTCTTTTTTTTTCACTTGAGGTTTCGACGGATACCGACATCATCAAAATAAACTGAAGATTTACAGTTCAAGCGAATCGAAGAGCCGTGACTAACTAGAAATATTTTTGGAATGTTCACCAATCAGAACATCGCGGTTACAAATAAATAAAACTACAGTTTATTACCAAAAAACGGTCTGTGAAAGTTCACAAATAGTACAATTTCGTTTTTCAGAATAGCAGAAAATTTTTCCATTTTATATTTTTCATTGCCAAAATACTTCTCAATGGTAGAACTAAATGGTCATAGCTTCTTGATTCTTGACTTGGCATTTTATTTTATATTACCTCAGGAAGGAAGAATTCGTACATCTGTCTTGTGAATTGTGGGAAATTGTCATTGATGTTGATAACTTTGACATCAACCAAAATTTCTCTGTTAATTGTATAAGCAATTTATCAGCAAATGAAAAATTGTAAGTTTGGTACTGTTTTAGGAATGGATGACAAGATAAAATGTCTGATAGTTTGGTGTGATAACGACCGCAAAATAGGGAGAGTAAAAACGCAATGATAGCGAGCTGATGCATTCTGTGAAAC